AAGATGACACCCTTTGTTTACACTGCTCATTTCTAATTGGTCGAAACCAGAAGAATTGCAAGAAACTACCACATCAGGTGCGACAGGAATGTTATGCAAACTGACAGAAATGCAAAACCGAGTTTGTTGACCCGGCTAACCAAGTTCACCAAAGTTTATTGACCTCAAATTCATTCCGATTCTCGGGAATCAAGTCTTCGGTACCATAGTATTTGGAGACAAATCTCACCCCAGGTAAATTCTTTGTCGTCCAATCAGGCTGCTCCCCTTGCGAAGAATGTAACAATTCGTGCATGCAATATATGTATTAAGTATTTCTTTATTTCTCCACCTATAACAAGTCACAAAGTATTCCCCTTTCTATGTAAATCATGTATGCATTTAAAAGCTTATAAGCCTAACAGGGAGGACGTAATACTTGGAAATAAATTAAACTTTGGATTCCTGACATCTCGTATAAATAACAATAATATCTCGTTATTACGGGTTGTAATGTCGTTATACTGAGTCAGTAACGCGTTATTACTAAAAAACCAAATTCTTCTCAAAATAAGCCAACTTAATAAATCAAAAATAATTCCAATAATTACATGTTTTTAAAACCAAACATCCAAGTGTATTCTATGAATATGGGTCACTGTAAATCGTAAAAATTATACCGTGCGTTGGCGCTGTGCGAAACTCCCATCCTGTAGAGCGCCACCATAGGTGAAACTTTTTGAGCTGAAAATTGCAGACGCACTGTGCAGTACGTCATTACAAAGGTTGCATGACATCACTACTTTAAGTGTACACATATGGGCTGATGTCCTGTCGGCTGCCGCTCAGTGACTTCTTGTTTCCTTTTTACAGTATAGTCGTTAACTGTTCGTAGAGGTAAGTTTGAACCGTAAATGTGGCCTGGTATGCTCGACCATATACAACGCATGTCGTAGGCGGAGCAGTAATACGCACGCCAGGTCAACCCGTGACTCGGGCGAGTGACTCGGAGCCGGCGGCGGTAAAACCGGTGCTGCCTTTTGCTACTTCACACTCAGCTGATTCGAGTTTACTCAACAGGGTACTTAACACTCACTGTCGTAATTATGGTCGAGAATACCCGATATATATTCAAAATATTGAGTTGTAGCTTGTATGAACTTGAATAATAAGGAATTATTGAAATCTGTGTTTTCGAGTTAGAGAATTGGAAACAACAGCAGATACAGAATGAGCTCTCGTACTTCCGGGTCGTTCGTCAATAATGCGGAAAAAGTTACTTAAGCCCTAACCCCAACCCTCCGGCCCCTAATATAATTGTATATGCCCCCCAAATAACTATATCTATCAACAAATATACATAATAAAATAATTTGCAAAATATATTATACAATTTAAGGTTTTATGCTGTATATGATATATGCAGATGACATGGCTCTCATTTCCATTACATCAGATGGATTTCAACAAGCTTTGAATGAACTTGAACAATATTGCTCAAATTGGCAACTTAAAATAAACGTATCTAAAACTGAAATTGTTATTTTCAATAAATCACCACTGCAAAAAAGATACTTTTTTACTATTGGCAACCATTGCATTAAATGTAATAAACAGTATATTTATTTAGGGATTATTTTCAGTTCAAATGGTAATTTCAATGAGGCAACAGCCAATATAGCAGAGAA